TCTTCTTCATCAAGGGCGGCACCAAGAAGAGCAAGATCGTCGGCTCGAGTTTTGATGGATTGCATAAACTCAGTGATGCTAAGGGAGCCTTTGGTGGTGTATTTGAGGTGGTGTTTGATTTGTTTGATGCGGCCGCGAGAGGGTTTAGCATAAGTGTTGGCTAGAGTTGTCCAGGCTTGTTTAGAGGTTTGGGATTGAGCTATGAAGGAGATAATGGTGGGTGAAAGGGAGCCAATAATGGCGTTGAGAATCAGTTGATCCTGTCGGATCCATAAACTGTAGCTGGGATTGGGGCTGGTGGTATTTTCTTGGGTCAACGTGGCTGGTGGACATGGTTTGGAGCCATCAATATAGCCAAGAAGATCATAGCCAATGAAGAGGGATTGGAATTGTAGTTTCCAGGAAAGATAATTGGTAGAGGTTAGTTTGAGAGGAGCTTGAGCAGCAACGTTGATGCTGATGAGAGTTTGATGTGGTGCATTGGTGTTTAGGATGGTTGCAGGGTTAGACTCGGTAGCCATGAGTGCTGAAGAACAAGGGAAACGATGAGAAAATGAGAAACGGATCGGTTTAGACTACTGATATTGTTAATGTTTCTTTATCATCTCTCTTATGAAAAGTTTTTTATTTTATTTTTTTGTACAGTAGAAAGCATGAAAAAATAGTGGGGAAAAAAAAAGTATGAGAGCATATATGAGAATTAGGTATAGGAGGGTGAGATTTGTTATGTGATTTGGTATTTATATCACACCTTCATGCTCTAAGCTTTGAATTGTCTGGAGTTAGTGCTCACTCTTCTCATATCATAATTGTCTGGAGTTAGTGCTCACTCTCCTCATATCATCAATCAGGTGGTGTGGAAAGAGTTATGGAGTTTGGTGTCTTAGCCAAAAATTAAATTATTCCTTCGGACGGAGACAGCTCCCTCGTTCTTTTGCTACATATCTGAATCTTTTTCAAAGAAAAATTAGGGCTTCTCCTTTATGCTCTATCTGTGAGGAATTGGAGGAATCGAAGGAACATTTGTTTTTCTTGTGTCCTTGGGTCCGAACAATATGGTTTGGCTCTGAGTTAAATTATAGAATCAATCCCCAAAGCTTTCGAACTTTTGATCAGTGGTTTCTTATCTTGACCCAAATGGAATTCTCTTCTAAAGTAGATAAAAATTGGTGCTTGACCTATATAAGCTTTATCTTGTGGGCTATTTGGAAAAGCAAGTGTCGTTTTATTTTTGAAGGAGTTAAACTGGAGCCTATTGATGTTTTGAGGTCTGCCTCTTCTTCAACAAGGGAATTTATGGAGATTCAAAGAACTGCTGCTCCTGCTTCATATGTCAGTCTAAGTGTGGATAACCTCTTTGCTCGTTGGTCACCTCAAAGGAGAGGTTGGTTTAAAGTTAATTCTGATGCGGCTTGGAGAAAGGACACCAAACGTGCTGGTCTTGGAGTGATGATTCGTGACTCGGAAGGACTGCTATGCGGTGGTTCTGCGGAAAGTATGATATGTCATTTTGTGTTGTTGGCTAAGGCATAAGCGGCTTTGGGTGGGCTAAAGTTGGCGTTGCTCTCAAATTACCGTAAGGTTACTATGGAGACTAATTCCCTTGTCCTAAAGGCTGGTGTTGATGGGAAGCATGAAAATTGCACTTGGAAAATTCTTCCTATCCTTCTGGAAATTAGGTGTATGGAAGCTATGTTTGATGCAGTCAAGTGGAGTTGGATCCCTTGCAAAAAGAATCTAGCAGCTCACGCTGCGGCTTCATTTGGTATAAGAGTGGTGCATAGGGTTACCCGGCTGGATCAGCCATTTCCTTTTTTGTGTTTTTAACTCTAGTTGGTTTTTGTTCCTTCCCCCCCCCCCCCCCCCTTCTCTTTTCTTTTTTTATTTAATATTTTGTTTTGCTGGGTTAGGTTTCCTACATTAAGGTGTGTCTAGCACGTGCTCCTCTCCCAGCGTATGCTTATCTTATATTCTCCTTTTGGCTCCCCTGTCTGGGGTTTATGAAGTATCTCTTATGAAAAAAAAAAAAAATCAAAAGTCTCGCACAATATACCATTTAATGAAATACAATAAAATCAATAAGTTTTTGAATATCACGTTACTTTTTCTTATATTTTAAAAGTCTTTATTGAATATTACTGAACTTGTATTAATTATTTAAAAATCTTAATTGAATAACACCAGACTTTTATTGATTACTTTAAAAATTCTAATTGAATATCGTTGTATTTTTAAGCTTCAAAACTATTCATTAAAATCTCAATTGAATACACTCTCCTAAGTCCAACACGATTCAAAACGGATCGAACTTATGCAGTCAGGTGTTGGCCGACTCGACCTATTTGACACATCAGGTACTGCCTTCACAAATCACGAAAACAGAATTTTTGTTAGGCCATATCCAACCCAAGAGGCTAAACCCAAAATATCCCAAATTATAGCCCGAAACCTCTCCCAACCCAAGAAAATGAAGGGCCAAAATTTGGGGAAACCCAAACTTAGGCCCAAATACCAGTCCAAGTATTGCATGGACCCAAAACTATTCGGTGGAGCCCACCAACAGATGGCACAACCCATGTGCATCAAAAAAGACATTGGGGCCCACGCTGGTGGCTTTGTCTCCCAGCCTGATGCAGCACATGCCACGTGTTGGCTCCCGCTGAAGTTGTCATTGCAATTTAAATGTCTTCTAAAAATTAAAAAAAAAATCTAATAGTAACTTTAAAAAAGAGATTGGGGCTTGCGCTGCTGGCTTTATTTGCTGGACTGACGCTGCAGGTGCCACGTGTCAAGTCCAGCTAAAGTTGTCGTTGCAATTCAAATTTCATTTTTTTTATTAAAAAATTCTAATAGTAACTTTAAATCAACAATCTAGATTAAATCTAAGCTATTTTAACGGCAAAAAAAAAATATCCAACGGCTGAAATTTAAATCCAACGATTAAAATAATATTTTAGTTTAATCCAAATCAGATCCAACCCCAAAACTCACTCCAACCTCTATAAATACTCACCCATTTCTCAATTAATCTTCCAAAAACATTTTTTCTATTTCTCAATTTATTTTTCTTCGTCAATTTCATCAATCTCCTTTTATTCTCATACTTTTGATATCATTTCAAGCACATCATCTTCTTCATTCTCATACTTTTCACATCATTTGAAGCTTTCAATGGATAACCGTGGCAAGGCCATCTTTTCCTTTATGTTTGATGATGATTCAAATGATGAGGAACATCATCAGAGTAATACAAGCCATTGTCTACCGTACTTCACTAGAGAATGAAGCCACCAAACATGGTGGGTCTGTAGTCGGTAGTGAGTACAAGAACCGTGAGAGGGAAGATCGCCATTGCAATCTCATATCCAACCACTTCGTTGAAAGGCCACATTTAAATACTACGGACTTTCGTAGCCAGTTCCAAATGCGGAAAGAGTTGTTTTACCGCCTCTTGAATGATGTTGTCAACCACAAGTCATACTTTCGCCACAAAAAAGACAGGCTCGGTCAACAAGGGCCATCCCCTGAGCAAAAGTTAACAGTTGTCTTTCATATGCTCGAATAGGGATGCTCGGCTGACGCGATCGATGAGTACTGTAGATTGGGTGAAAGCACAGCTCTTGAATCACTCCGTAAGTTTTATTACGTTGTTGAAGCCGTGTATGGCCAATGGTACCTCAAGTCTCCAAATCCAGTTGACATTTACAAGCTATTGCACAAGGCAAGTAGTCGAGGCTTCCCAAGCATGTTAGGAAGTCTTGACTTCATGCACTGGGAATGGAAGAATTGCCCATCTTTCTTGGGCAGGCCAGTTTACATCGGTCACCAAAAAAAAAAAAAAACCATTGTTGTGCTAGAGGCCGTGGCCTCGTACGACACATGGATATGACATGCCTTTTTTGGAGCTGCTAGATCCAACAATGATATCAACATTTTAGCTCGTTCTCAATTGTTAAGTGATGTGGTACATGGAATGGCTCCTCATGTTAAATATATTGTCAACGGAAATCAATATCATTTGGGCTACTATTTGGCAGATGGGATCTACCCTGGTTGTGCTACTTTGATGAAGACCATCTCTTCTCCTGACAACCCGAAGAAAAGGCTTTCTACACAAATATACAAGAAGCGTACAGGAAGGATGTTGAAAGAGCATTTGAAATACTACAGGCTTGATGGGCTATTGTTCGAGAACCTGCACATATGTGGTGCAAGGATAACTTCCACTCAATCACGATGACGTGTATAATTTTGCACAACATGATTGTTAAGGATGAGTACGAATATGTTGAAAAGGAATATGATGATGAGGATATGTGTCCACAACGATCCAAGAGGGTCAGAGCAAGATAATATGAGATGGAGCCAAGCATTATATACGAGTACCACCAAGATAGGCAGACTCTCTTTGATTACATGATTCGTCATAATAGAGTCTGATCTCCACACGTGCATTAGAGTCTTCAACATGATTTGATCAATCACCATTGGAGGAGCTTTGGAGATAGTGAATGAGGTCGACAATTGTTTCAATCCTACTTTTGTGTTTTTTTTTTTTTTTAATGTTGTGTGTTTTATTTTGGAATAAAATTATATTTATGGAATTTCAATTTTTTTTAGGTCAAATTGTTAAAAAAATAAAATAAATTATGACGTTATTTAAAAAGATTAAATGAAGAAAAGTTTTCCATTAAAAAAAAATTAGACTTAAATCATTCTTAAATAATTTAATAAAGTTGCGGACTTAAAATTTGAGTGCGGAGGGTTGAGAGAAAAAATTATTTGAGTCCGAGCAAAACCTAAATAATTACTTTTTAAAAAGGAAAAATTTAGAAAAGACCTTACAGTACACATATGTATTGGTTTGTACCAACACACAAAATAAATAAATAACACCTGTATTGGTTGACTGGTTGACTGGGTGACTGGGTGACTGGGTGACAATTACATAAACAGCAGTCTCCGGCAGTTTGGTTGTGTTCTCACCGTCTCTCTTCTTGTCCGTCAAACTCTATGCTCATAAGTTCCCAACAGTAACCGTCACTTTTCCTCCATTCCCCCATAAGCCCCTCCCCTCTTCCCCCAATTAATAAATTAACCAAACGGCTATATTCCGTTCTCTCTATTTCTGAGTCTCTCGAAAAACCCAACACCAATTTCACCTTGTACTTAACTCTACCCTCAGCTGCTCTCTCTCTCTCTCTCTCTCCCCCAAAATGCACAAAGGCTTAGCTTTCTGCCTCCTCCTCTCACTCTTCCTCTGCAACTTGACACCGCCCTCCATGGCCAAGAACAGCGTCGTTACCATTGAGCTGTGATGTGTGGCGAAGAACAACGCCAAGGACGCCCAGCTGCAGTCGGCGCTGGACTGGGCCTGCAGAGCCTGTGGGACCGACTGCAGCCCAATCCTGCAAGGTGGGCCCTACTACGACCCCACCGACATCCAAAACACCGCCTCCTACGCCTTCAACGACTACTTTCTAAAACACGGCATGACCGACGAAAGCTGCAACTTTGATAACACTGCCGCTCTCACTTCTTTGAACCCCAGTAAGTGTTCTCTTTTTTATTTTCTTTTGTTGAATTTTCTTTCTGGGTTTATGGTTTAATTAGAGATTAAGAAGTTAGATCACAGATGGGGTTTTGGTGGGTTTAGATATTTAGATCTAATTTGGATTAAATAACTTGTTTCTTATTTTTCCAATTTCAGGTTATAATAAGTGCAAATTCCCATCCAGGTAACCCATTACAATTTCTTTACTTGTACTTTTTAGGAAGCTTTCCAATGAGGGGTTATGGTGAGAGGTTGCGTCGAGGGTTTTAATTTGGTGGTTCAATAATAACTCTGTGATTGATCGGATGACTATGAAGGATCGCCGCATTATAATTTATAAGTTATAACCCCTCGATATAGTCCCTCGTTTTTCAATTTTGAAAACTGGGTTTGGCCCATTTGGGTAATTGTTTAAGCATAGAGTAAGAGTAGTGCTTCATTTCAAATCTTGTTCATATTTCTTAGCTTTTTGTCACCCAAGATTTTGCACAACATTATTGGTGTTTTTATGATGCACAGCTTGTCATCGAGCAATGCAAGCCTTTCAAGTCCATCAACAGCGTATGGAATGGGGTCCAGTGAAGATCTCAACGGCAACAATCAGATTTCTCAGCTATGGATTTGGCATCTCATGACCAGTCTTCTGCTCATTGCATTTTCATGGGTAATGGGTTAGCTTAAGCTTTGTCCCTTCGTTGTTTTTTTTTTTTTTTTTTTTTTTTTTTTTTTTTTTTTTGTTACGTGACAATTTTACACCTAGGAGATTATTAGGTCAGCAAAAATAGAATTAGATTGCTTTCGATTTTGTTATCTGTGTGAGCTTTTTGTAATTTGGTTCACAAAATCAAGCAGATCAATATATTTGTGTCTTTTTTTTTTTGCCAACTAAACCAAATACGAGAGTTATTATACTCATGCTTTAAAGAAAAGTATCAAAACATAAAGGAAGTGCAAGTTTACTTGGCAATTGAAAAGGGGGGGCCTTAAAAAAAAAAAAGCAACATGCATCTTTCCTCCTACGAAAATTCAGGCATTGTTTTTAGACTTTAGGTTTAGGGTTTAGGTCGGTTGGTGGATGGAAATGAGCAAAAAAATTGGAAGCCAGCTCTTCATTTTCTCCATTTGGGAGTTCAATTTGAGAAAAGAAAAAAAAACCAAATTGGATCCTCCGAAAAGATAAAAGAAATCCGGCCTATGAATTAAGGTTGGGCCTTCTTTCTTTTGGTTTTCATTCAAAACATTTCTAGTTTTCTTTCATATTTTATTCTTATGTTCGTTTAGTAGACTTCTAGTTCAAAACATGGAAACACTTTTATACGTATATTATTATCTTGATAGACAAACGATCATTCTTTCGATGGGCATTTTTTTTATAGTTAGATGATTTCTAAGATAATTTATGGGCACTGTGTGACCTTGTTAGTTAGCCTTCATATACTAGTCACCTGGCTACTTGGCAAGACCTATTCTCGAATTTGGTATCACGACCTAGCATTTAAATAGTATAATTGGGATAGTAAAGTACCTTAAGTATAAAAATCATTCGTACATGTGATGTGATAGAAAACACAACACTCCTTTTAAAAAGCATTATTTTGAATCAAATGATTAAAACCATTTGATGTATTTTGAATCAAATGATTAAAAGCATCTGTACATCAAATGATTATGGCTTGTTTGGGACTACTTCCTTAGAAAGTATTTTTGCTCATAAGTGCTTTTATCAAAAGCACTTTTAAGATGTTGAAATTATCATAAGAAATCCAAGTGCCTCCTGGAAAAACACTTGGGAGTACGTCATGAAGAAGCACATAACATTTTCTACCAAATTGTACCAGAAGCATTTTTAGCTGTCATAAAGCTTATAGCCCTCCCAGAAGCACTCCTAAACAATGTAAGAGTAGTTACCCTTGCGCCCGAGGTTTTGTGTTTGAATCCATGCTCCAACAATATCGCTTGTATTAAAATAATTTGTTTTGGGGAATTGTGCCAACCACCTTTCCAATAAGAAAAATATTTGGCTTCATACACATAAGGAGTCGTTCCTCCTAAGAGGCAAATCACAATTTGACATGTGTGCATAAACTTTTCTTTTTATAATTTTACTGAGTTACTTTTTCATGTGTGAGGCTGTGATTTGTGAGTAAAGAAGCAGTGTCCCTCCGATAATACTAACGACACCAAATTTAGGTCTCAAATGAGGTGTCATATGCAACTTCATCATATTTTAATTACTATTGATACATGTACTAATATTTTTCAACCTAATTAATTTTGGAGTTAACTTAAAAGTTACCAATGCATGCTAATGGGGTCTAGCCCAGTGGAAAACGGTCTTAACTTGCAAACTAGTGGTCTCAGGTTCAAATCTCCATGACACATTGGTAGTATGTGTGTGTATGTGTGTGTGTGAGAGAGAAAAACACCCCTCCCACTTGTAATTCAGACTATTACTTGTATTATAAAAAACAACCACAAACCTATGTTACAAAGAACTCCCCACTCCAAGACCTCCATAAGGCTGCCCACAAAAACTATATAAATCCACCATACTAAAATCAGTCTGTTAGGTTCACATTATCTATTTTATTAGTCAAACTTTTAAGAGAACCTATTCATCATCAGAACTAATATCTATAATTTCAAGATGAGGGATAACATACTCAGGATATTCATTCTCATCATCAGAACTCAGGTTGATGACAGTTGGATTGGACTTTTCTATTTGTGGTCCAGTGATAACCACTGAAGCAGCAGACTCAACAAACTCAGCAGACAGAGCATCAAGGTCCATGAGTTCCAAATATGCTTCATCTTCTAGGTCTAGGACATAGGGTAACTCTAACCCTTGTGGTTTTGGAATATAAAGTAAGTCTATCCCTGGTGGTGGCCAAATATCAACAGCTATAATTGCATCATCTTGCAACACTTGGTCATAAAAGTGTGCTTCAATATTTAATTGGTATTGACTCCTAACATTGTTGGCCCGCAACTGATGTCTAACATCATTCTCTGCATCTTTGGTGTATATAACATCCTCCTATATCATGTGTCAACAACTTCATTAACTATGTCCAAATAAACATGGTTGCGTAGACGGCTGTGGTATACTTCTTCATCTACTGGGATGAGGCCATTGAGTCCCATTTAGAACCCTCCCCATGTGTCATCATTGTGATCGGGTTGCATCCTAAACATTAATTTAACAAGTCAGTAAATAACAAAAAAAGTTAATGAAACTGTAAACCTTGCTCTGATACCAACTTGTCACACCCCAACCCACAGATTTATGAAATCTTGGATTAAGACGTGATTCATACCTTCATTAAATTGTTTTGTTATTTACTGACCTATTAATTCACACATTCATTAAATTGTTTTGTTATTTACTAGCCCATTAAATTAATGTTTAGAATGCAACTTGATCACAATGATGACACATGGGGAGGGTTCCCAATGGGACTCGATAGCTTCATCCCAATAGACGAAGAAGTATACCACAACCTTCTATACAACCAGGCTTATTTGGACATAATTAATGAAGTTGCTGATACAGGATATAGGAGGATGTTATGTACATCATAGATGCAGAGAATGGTTGTTAGACATCAGTTGCAGGCCAACAATGTTAGGAGTCAATACCAATTAAATATTGAAGCACACTCTTATGACCAGGTGTTGCAAGATGATACGATTATAGTTGTTGATATTTGGCCACCACTAGGGATAGACTTACCTTATGTTCCAAAACCACAGGGGTTAGAGTTACCCCATGTCCCAGACCCAGAAGATGAAGCATATTTGGAACTTCTGGACTTTGATGCTCTGTTTACTGAGTCTATTGCTTCTGCTACTTCAATGGTTATCATAGAACCACAAATACAAAATTTAATCCAACTGTCATCAACTTGAGTTCTGATGATGAGAATGAATATCGTGAGCCTGTTATCCCTCCTCTTGAAATTATAGATATTAGTTCTAATGATGAATAGGTTCCCTCAAAAGTTTGACTAATAAAATGGATAGTGTGAACCTAACAGACTGATTTTGGTGTGGTAGATTTATATAGTTTTGGTGGGCAGCCTTATGAAGGTCTTGGAGTAGGGAGTTCCTTGTAACATAGGTTCGTGACTGTTTTGTTAAATTTTGTGAAATAGGTTTGTAACAACTTATAAATGCTTAATGCACATGTTTGATTTTCTATCATGTTTTTTTAGTGTAATTTATAAATGTTTAATATTGCTTTATGTAATTTTTAAAGAATATATATATATATATATATATTAATTTTGTAAAATTATTTGGTAAAGGTTCAATTGTTAAGATGGCTAGAGTAGAATGACAAAGTGAGAATGATGTGAGTGATAATATGAGAATAATGTTAGCCATTCAAGATATGCCTTATGCTATTCGTGAAACAAATCAACATAATCATGAACCGCATCAAGAAACTCAAGATGATCAAATAATGAGAGTTCAAGGAGAATTTCGAAATACTTGGCCACTTGTCTTCAAGGGTGATCCAAACCCTATGGCAATAGAAGAATGGTTAAGACAAGTGAAGAGAAAGATGAATGAACAAAGAGTTCTTAGAAACCTAAAAGTGACCATCGCTTCTACCTATTTGGAAGGACAAGCTTATCATTGATGGGAATCTATTTTGGCTATGCCTGATGTTGAGATTGCAACATGGGTTGCCTTAAAGACAATATTCCTGGAGAAATATTTTCCTGAAACGATGAAAACCATGGAGGTACGTGAGTTCACTAAAAGAGTAGCTCATTATTCAACCACAAACTATGCACACAATACACTCTATAGACATGCCAAAATCATCATAAGTCCTAGATTTTAGGTTCAGTGCCTGAAAATTTTGTTAGGGGGTGAGCAAAACCATAACTTAGTACGAACATAAACCTTTTCACCGTAAATCGATATTACTTAATTAAGTGACATCAATCACACAGCCAAATATTACATTATTTATAATAATGCGTGAATGTTCTTCACCTACTCTAGTTAATTAATATAACTGGATAAACAGACCTGCATGTCCCATACCATGCTTATACCACTTGGTCTTGAGTGCCATGAACTAACACCCATCTCAATCATCCCATAATTTCCCCTTTCATTAGTCATCTTGTCTAACTCTCTGTTGCCAATCCTGCATCATTCAATAATAACCATGTGCACGGTGAGATCCATGAGATCTGGTACCTACTAAGAGTTAGACTCAACTACACAAAAGATTATTTCTACTACCCTCTTTTCCATCATTATTTTCTCAATCCAACAATTCCATCCAATTTCCATGACATGATATAATTATACCTTTCACGTATCCTATATATCTCACAACTATGTAACCATTTAAAACATCACCAATGTATATATAATTATGCCAACATTGTTCAAATAGTTAACAATACATAAACACCCAACATGAAGAACATTATATAATATCAAGAACATCAATCAAATTATAATATCACGCATAATATAGTGCTCAAGAAATTTAATTAAATTAATCCATGTAAATGACCTCCCAAGAAACCCCCGTACCTTGACATCAAAGCCTTTGCTAGAAATGTAAAGTGTTTTCCAATTTTTCACTACATCTACAAACTCAGTCTCTCACTCTTTTTTTTTAACAATTCTACTTCTCTCTAACTCTTTTTCTCTTTCGCTTTCTTTGTTCCTTTGCTGTGCAACTAATGACTTCTATATATACAAAGGATAGGTTGGCTACAACTCATTTCCTATTGGATGGTGTACTAGCGGCTTATGTATTTACTATCCAAGTAATGTACATATATATATTAATATGGTCTTGCAGATAAGAAAGAATTTCTTATAAGACACATTGTGACTCCTCCAATTCGTCCAATCCTAATTTGACATTCTTCATGGTGAGTTAATAAGGCTAGTAATCATAGCCTCGCTGCTAGCATACTTTATTGACACCTAACCACGTTATCAAAAAACATTTTATTAATGTGTATATATATATATATATATATATATATATAAATAATAGAATATATATCAATTATCTTTCTGTAATCATCATTTAAGAACACAAACTATCACATCCAAGTCCAATAAGTTGAGGATATTATGATCTAACGTCGGCCTCGTATTTATTTCATGATTATCTGGTGGTATAACGGTGACGGCTGGGTTGGGAACTTGGGAGGTTGGTCAAGTTATTGGGGGTACTGAAACCAGTGTCGGTCTTGGACAGGAATTGGAGGTGCTACCTCCTGGGGCCCATTGTATAAGGTATAAAAAAATCTTATATTATATTATCTATGTATTATATATTTATTTAATATTTTTGACAAAACAATATTTAGATAACGTTGGATTTCTTAATAAGATTGCTGCACTGCACCGCTGCCACTCCTCCAGGTTTAATGTTAGACTTTTCTTGTTATAAATCTTTCTTCTTCTTTTTTTCTAAATCTCTTTTTCTATACCCTGTGAATTACGCTTTCTTTTGTAGATTGCTGATATTCCAAAATTCAAAGGGTGGACTTTTATTCAATGTGAAATTGGTACTTACAGAAATCAATTCAAGGGAATTTTTTTATGGTTTAATATTAAATTAGAAGTAAAAAATGGTTTAGTGTACCCAAGTCCATGCCACTAACCACACATGTTTTCTTGAAAAATTGTTGTGCTGATTAATTATATATGTTAATTGATGATGAATATTTTAAGTTCAAATTTTATTTATGGAATTAAGTTATGGTAAATTTTGTTAATATTATTTTCGTATTTAATAATGTGAAGGCCCCATTTTACGTTTCGTACAGGTCCTTTTAAATCACAAGATCGGTCCTGAGTAAAATATTGGGTACTGTGCAGTGGTGAATTTTAGGTTAAGTAAAAAATTATTATTTTTAAATCTATGTGTTAAAAGAAATTAATCCATACTAAATACATGTGTCAATGGTGATTTAAACATAATGATGATGTTTTCTAAAAAAAAACATAATGATGTGGTATATGCCATTTTTTTTGTTCTTTCTCGAATTTAGGAAGGAGAAGGGAGTTATACACTGCTTATGTGTCATGGAGATTTGAACAATAGACCAATGGTCTGCAAGTTAAGCTATTTTTTCATTGGACTGGTGATGCCTTATTGTTATTCTTTACACCCAAAGACGGATCTACATTTGGGCTGGAGACACTCCAGCCCAGTGGTGAATTTGGAGAATAAGCTAAGTGATACAAGCCCAACCTAGGTAAATCAAATAATAACCCACCCATCTATGTAAAATTAAGCCCACCCTTCTATGCAGAAATAAGCCCACCTCAAAACCATATGTACACCCTACAGCGGGCATCATATATATTATACTAGCCACCCATAACTACATAATTGCATTTGAGAGCTTAGAAGAAGTAGCTCTCATCCTCCAAAATTCTATCAACCTATTTTCAGTGGGATCTTTAGTCTAGGTAAATTTCTCTCTTTTTTTTATTCAATATCTAATTTTAATTGTTATTGTTAAGTTATATATATATATATATAATTTTATTTTCTAGCCACCCATAACTACATAATTGCATTTGAGAGCTTAGAAGAAGTAGCTCTCATCCCCCAAAATTCTATCAACCTATTTTCAGTGGGATCTTCAGTCTTGGTAAATTACTCTCTTCTTTTTATTCAATATCTAATTTAATTGTCATTGTTAAGTTGTTATGATTTAAGGTTTGTGTGTTAAATTTTGGGGATTTTTCTTATGGAATTTGTTGAGATTATTCTTTTTCTTATCCACTTCACTAGGCAACACTTTTTTTTTTTAAATGCATTTTTTTTGGATTATGCAATGAACATATAATTTTTTTTTTTAAGTTGGACAATATGTGTTTAATTTAGTATTTATTTGTATTTGTATTATTTGCTCGTTATATATGCGAATAAACTTGTTTGATTTATAAATTTTAGTTAGATGTTCGTTTCAAAAAAAAATCTTGTGTGAAACGGGAATAACATTGTTTTGTTATCCATAATCAATCACAGACTGCCACGCGGAAAAGTTATCACGCGTGGCATACTGTTCCCGTTACACATAAGTGTTTCTCCTTCGGCTGGAGTCTAGATTATCCTGCCATATATAGTAATAATTCACAAACATACCAGCTACTATTGGATTCTCTTTTATTGCAGAAAATCAAAACGAATCCCGCAAAAAAAGGGAAAATCTTTGTTTTTAATCACAAAAAGGTTGGAAATTTGTATCTCTTAAGAAAAACTTATAATCTGGCCAAAAGCTAATTAATTTTTCTTATTCACGTGGAACACACGCAATTATTTTTGTTTATCTTTCTTAATTATGCTAGCCGCAAATTACCATCTTAACTAATTTTTAGGTTACCAAACGGTTACCAAACCACGAATAAGTCTTCGTCGGACCAAGTAAAAGACAACAACAAACAATACAACTAACAATCCAATATCCTTCACGGTTGACAATCGAGTATACACAGAGACTTTCCAATAAAGTAACCACCGGAGCCAAACAATCAAAATCAAGTAAAGTTTTAATGTTTATAATCATCTGTAGCAATAAGAGCAGCACTCAAATTGTAATAAAAACCAAACAAAAGCAAAATTGTAACAATTAATTCAAGTATATATAGCAAAATTAATGCAATATTCACTGTCTCTCTAAATCTTCTATACCATCCTCTTGGCCACAAGATTGAATCCTTCTTGAAGATCTGTCCATGCTAAGCATTCTTCTGAAAGAACTCAACCTCGAAATCGAGCCATTCGATTTAGTACCAGAGCTGGACTGGGCAGCACCATCTGACGTCCCTTCTATATATGACTGAAACGCGGAGTTCAAGGCGGAGCCGTGGGCCCACCTGCCACGGGATCCTCCCGTGGCTCGGGCTGGAGACGCGGCTGTGCCTCTGTCCGGCAAATAGGGCAGGTAGTGTGGGAATTCAGCCACGTGTCTATGCACTCCACATGGAAACTATGCTTGCAATTTGGAAGCAGCCTTGCCATCTCATCATGATCTAACATGCTCAAGCACACGGCGCACTCTATTGCGTTGGCTTCCCCGTCGTCCTGGCCGTCCACGCGTGTGAAAACGAAAGTGGGCAAGGCGGAAATGATGGAGGGCTCCAGGCCGGTCTTGGGCTGCTCCGCCATGTGGACATGAGCCATGGTCGAGCCTAGATGATGACGCATGGAGGCACGGCGAAGCGCCTGGCGTCGGAGGACACACCTAGCGTAGGTGTGAAGCACGATCACTAACGAAACGACGACAGATAATGAGATGATGGCTGTGAGCATGATCTTGCTGTTCAAGTCGTACGGGTTTTTGTGATAAACTGGAGGATCATCCTCGTCTTCGTATTTTAGGAGGCGCATCGGATTTAGGTGCGAGGAGGAAGACATGGTTTCGTGGTTTGGTTTGATGCCTCACTCAGCCTCTCTGACGGATTTGTTGAGAGAGGGGCTGAAAATTGTGTTTTATGTGTTTGGAGTTGAGAGTCAAGAGTCAGAGAGTTTGTGTTTTGGTTTTGGGTTTTGGTGTGAATACTTGTTTGGTTTTTTCAGTAGCGTTGAATGTTGACTTGTTTCTTTCTTCTTGGAAATCATTTTC